TCTCACCATTCATCTCTAACATCTCCTCTAACCTCAATATCTACCCCCACCCGTCTTATATACTATTCCTCCCCCGCACCTCATCTCCCTCCCCGTTCTCTCCCACCCCATCTTCCTCCCCTTCTCCCACCCATCTCCTACTCTCTCTCCCCACCCCCATCTCCCTCTCAGCCTGATTCTCCCGACTCCATCTCCGTCCACTCTCCCCACTCCATCCTCCCTCTAGCCTCTCCCCCACTAGTTATGGTGTGTTCACACCCTCACCGTTCTCCCCCCACTTCCATCAGCCGCTCGTATCTCTTCCCCCACCCCATTCTCCCTCTACTTTTCCACACCTCCACTCCTTCTATTACCTTTCCCCACTCCATCTCCCTCTTACCTTCTGCCCCACTCCCATCCTGCCCTCTATCTTCCTCAACCTCTCTCTCCCTCTATCTCCTCACCCATTCTCCGTTTGCTTTCTGTCCCAACCGCACCCGTGGATGCCCTTCTGCGCCATCATACATCCATTAGCTACATTGTCGTGGGGTCGAATCGGCAGGACTTGGACGGGGTGTCGATCAGGCGCGGTGGTGGCGGCGAGGGCGGGGGTTCGGCGGGGGCGTATGGCGGAGAGCCAGCGCGGTGGTGGGGTCGGCGAGCTCGTGCAGTCGCGGCGCCCAGCGCCTGCTTCCGCGGCGCCACCGATACGCTTCTGAGAAATTCAACCAGTTTTTATAATCTCCTGCGCCTACGATTCGCTCCGTAATTTGACGGCTCTGCCTTTTTTTCCCCTTCCCCCCCCGCCGGCTTTCCCGCATGATTCTCTGCGTGGTCTTTGCTTTCTGCTCTCTCTCTCTCTCTTTCGCTTTGTCTCAGGTCTCCTCGGTCTCCTTCTCGTCTTCTCTCTGCTTCCCTCCTTCCTTCTCTCTAACGGTGTTTTCTCTCCCTCCCCTCTCTTATTCCGTTCTCCTCTTTGTCTCGCTCCCTCTCTTCTCTTCTCTCGCTCTCATTTCTTCCCTCTTCACTCTGTCTCCGCGTCCCCTCTCGCTGTCCGTTCTACCCTCGCCTTCTCTCTCCTCTCTGCTCTTGCTCTGACGCCTCCTGTCTCTCTCCTTCTCTCTCTCATGTCTTTCGCCCCCGCTTCACTCTCTTCTCCGCCAATCTTCACTCTCTGTCCTCGGTCCTTCCCTTCTGTCCCCTGTCGCCCGTCCCTCCTCCCTTCCTCTCTCTCTCTCTCTCTCTCTCTCTCTCTCCCCACTCTTTCTCCCAATATAGAAAGGCATTCGGGAGGAGGCGTGCGGGGACGACATCTGGCATAATGGACCGGAAGCTGAGATGCTGACCCTTTGTCGGAACAGTGTTTTATTGGTGACCCCTGGCGGCATACGCATCAAACTCCCACGTCATCCCCGCTCGCCCGTGCGCGCGTCCGACACTCAACCTGGCTTGATTTCATCCGAGACTGCCGCCGCGAGCGCCGACCGACGGCGTGCAGACGGTGGACGAGCGACGTCGGCGGCCGTCTCGGTGAGCATCGGGTATTAGCGGAGAGCGATTAGTTGGCGAGCTCATGCACTCCTTCCTACCAGCTGTTGGCGTTTACGACAGGCTAGCGACGAGGCTTTACAACTACCGACACACTCACAGCAGCAGCAGCAGTACCAGCAGCAGTACCACCACCACCACCACCAGCAGCAGCAGCAGCAGCAGTACCACCAGCAGCAGCAGCAGCAGCAATACCAGCAGCAGCAGCAGCAGCAGCAGCAGCAAATCTTTGATAGAATAGCGAGCGAGCGAGAGCGGTGATCTCTCGGTATCTTTCCATTGCTCTCTGTCTGTCTGTCTGTCTCCATCTCTCTCTCGCTGGCTCTCTGTCTCTCTGTCTCCCTCCCCTCCCTCTCCCGCTCTCTCTTGCTGTCGATGTTAAACATTCGGACGTGCTCAGCAACATACCCACAAAATGCATGACGAAAATCTTGCGATTTGACCCAGTATTGTCTCCCTCCCACACTCGCTTCCCCCTCCCCCTCTTCTCTTTTGTTCGCTCTCTCTCTCTCTCTCTCTCTCTTTTTCAATTTTCTTTCTTTCTCTCTCTCTCTCTCTCTCTCTCTCTCTCTCTCTCTCTCTCTCTCTCTCTCTCTCTCTCTCTCTCTCTCTCTGTCTCGCTCTCTCTCGACCCCGCTCTCAGTCCCCTCTCTTCTCTCTCCCTCGTTCTTTGCCCTCCGATCTGCACTCCCTGGCTCTATTTGCCACTCGCAAGCACTCACTTACGCACACAAACGCTCATCCTCTCTACCACACACAGACAGCCAACGACCGACCATCAAAAGATCAAACAGCTCCACAGCAGCAGCAGCAAAAATTCCTCCTCACGAGCGCCTCCCCTTCCCCACTCACTCTCCTCCTCGCGAGCGCCTCCCCTCCCCCACTCACTCTCCTCCTCGCGAGCGCCTCCCCTCCCCCACTCACTCTCCTCCTCGCGAGCGCCTCACCCTCCCCCACTCACTCTCTTCCTCGCGAGCGCCTCCCCCCCACTCACTCTCTCTCCTCCTCGCGAGCGCCTCACCCTCCCCC